CTGTCATCCCCTTCTCCTCCTGCCTTCAATCTTTTCCAGCATCAGGGTCTTTTCCAACAAGTCAGTTCTTTGCATCATGTGGTCAAAGTACTGGAGCTTCAGCTTCAGCATCAGTCCTTCCAATGAATATTCAGGACTGATTTCCTTTAGGATTGACTACCCTCACTGCCTGACCATTAAGCCAACTGCACATGGAGTAGATTCTGTTTCAGCACCAACCTACTCTCAGGTATCAAGTACTGGATTAGTTAGAATAAAGTTCAACTGATGTAAAGAGGCTTCAGTGGGGCAGAGGGCTGTTTGTGCCTTTTCAGGGCTGTATGCCTGAAGAGGGAGGAGCATGGGCCCCACTATCTGAGGGCTCTACCCTGCCCAGAGCTCAGTCACCATTTCAGCCAGTGGGAACAGGACAAGGTGAGACCCTGAAGACGCACTGTGGACCACATGCCACATCTCACAGCATTGCCCTTGGAAATATCACCTTTGCTTGGATGGGAAAGTGTCAGGTAAAATTCCAGTCTGAAAAGGACAGGGAGAATGAAAACACAGTGAGGAAGATGAGCAGGCTCTCCACATCCACCACAGGGAAAATAACATGGTTCACACAAAGCCAGGCAGCAGCAACAGGAAAACAGAAGATGAAAAACAGATAGATGTCCAAGACAAAACCCACAAAAATGTGCCCAGCGAAAGGACATCTAAATAGAATGTGGCTGATGCTAAGGTAAAAGGTAAAGGTCTGTTGACTGAATCAGCACTTTTTTTCAGCAATTGAAAACCATCATTATCTCTGTGTATTAATTACAGTTTTAAGAAATGTCAAAGCTATTTGTGGTAAAGTGTGCTTAGGAAGAGTATCACCAAGAGGTGGCCTTTCCTACCAGCTTTTCAAAATTCTCCGAGTAAAGATCAATACAACCTCCAGATATACAAGAGCCTGGGAGGTAAGGCCTGAGCCATAGGTCAAGTCAATGTAAGGCAAGAAGGTCTGTTAACTTCTAAGAGAAAGTTTCTTTGAAAGCAGGGAAAGTGGAATAAACTTATTACTGAAAAGTGCCTGAACAGCTCATACTGCTTATTCAACTGCATTCTCGCTCTGCCTCACAATGCACTGCCCACTGTACCCCCTCCAGGTCCCACTCATCCATCCCCTCCAAAGGGTATGCACACATGGTGCCAGCTTCTCATCAGACTCCCAGAACCACTTTCAGTTGCCAGACTTGTTTCCAGAGCTGCCTGTCAAGGACTGTTTCTGCTGAATGTCTCATAACCTATTCCAGCCAATGTGATGCTAATCTTTCCTCCACAAAAAAACTAGAAGGCAGTACCATAGAAAGTTCCAGAGAAGGGTTCTGAGGACATGGGAGGGAACTCACGTGAGAAACCAGGGCAGCAACTCTGAAGACTGTGCCCAGGAAATTAGCTCCCAGGAAGCGAGCAGCACCTCAAGCACCGGGAGGCAAGAACACAGGCACTGAGACACCGCTGGGCCACATAGCCCGGGGGAGGAGGAAAGCATGTCTGCAGCTCACAGCCAGGATCCAAAGCCGACAAACTCCCCACACAGTAACTGTAACCAACCCGTGGGAAGCCAGCCGGTGCCATGACTTCACCAGGAGGACCCGCCTCCCCCACCAGAGTCTCTCAGTAAGAGGCCACCCAGTGATGGGGACAGCTCTGCCCACTCACCTCCTCTCCCCCCAGAAGTGGATGGAGAACACACCAACACAATTTGTCAGCTGTCTCCCAGCCCCTTGCCAGCCTGTGTCCACCCCAGAGTTCAGTCTGTAGTAAACCCCAGTTTACAGGAGTCACTTGACTTATCAGCAGGATGTCAACAGTTTGAATCTACACAGAAGCTTCACCTCATTTCTTAACAAACTTTGCAGTGTGCCTAAGGCTTCTCAACCAAAAAGGGACAACCCCTTTGAAGTTAAAGTTATCACATCCCTCACAATAAAACAAAACATTTTGAAAAGGCCCTAAAAGCAAACAAGAAAACCCCAAGACTTCCCTGGTGGTCTAATGGTTAAGAGTTTGCCTTTCAATGCAGGCAGTGTGGGTTGGATCTCTAATCTGGGAGCTAAGATCCCACATACCTCCAGGCCAAAAAACCAAAACAAAAACAGAAGCGATATTGTAACACCTTGAACAAAGACTTTAAAAATGGTCCACATCAAAAAAGAAAAAGAAGAAAACCCCAATCCAGTTCCATCATGCTTGAAAGTCCATGGATCCCAGTTTCTTTTCTTGAAGCTGAAATAGATGATGAAGATGAAAAAAAAGGCAGGGGATAATAAAACACCTTACTGTACACTAAGGCCTGGTGTTGTAAAAACATGATCTAAGAAAGTATTTTTTAGTTGAATTGCGTTCATTTAAAACGCTCTAACAGAGAGCTATCCTCTGAATCTGAAGGAAGGCAAGCTGCCTTGGAATGTTTATCATGTAATCTGGCAGCTTACCTTCAGTAAGCAGCACACTGACAGTTTAATTCCTTAAGGGTTGAATTTCCAAAATGTAAGTCATGAAGTGAGCTTTCTCATCAGTAGGGCTCTGCTGCTGTGAAATGAGGAAGAATTTATGACAGAATTGCTCACTGTCCACAGTGCAACTTCTGCTGCCGCAGAAATGCTGCCTGCGCACCTAACAGTTTCCCATAGTCATCATACAGATGGCCTTGCTCTCCACTGTAGAGTCTGTGAGCTTCCCTATGATTAATAAGACCTCTTCTCAGACAGAAGGTTTCCCCACATCTGCTACACATGTAAGGTTCTCTGATGTTGAGTGAGGTGACAGCTTTGTTGGAAGGATCTCCCACATTCAGTGCATTTGTAGGGCTTCTCTCCAGTGTGGATTCTCTGATGCTGAAGGAAGGATAGGTGTGCCCCAAACACTCTCCCATACTTGGTGCACATATAGGGCTTCCCTCCATTGTGAACCATCTGCTGAAGAGTAAACTGAGAATGCTGAAGGCCTTGCTGCACTTGCTGCATCAGTAAGGCTTTCATCAGTGTGGACTTTGAGATGCTGAATGAGGGAGGAGAAGATGTTGAAGGCTTTCCCACACTGACTGCATGCATAAGGGCTCTCCACAGCATGTATTCTCTGATAGTGGATGAGATGTGTGATCTGGCTGAAGGCTTTTCCACAGTCACTGTATTCATAGGGCTTTTCCCCTTTGTGTGTCCTCTCATGCTTAATGAGGGTGGTTATCTTTCCAAAGGTATTCCCATACTTGTCACACTCGTGGGGCCTCTCTCCAGTGTGAACCCTCTGATGCTGCACCAGGGAGGAGAGCACACTGAAGTCTTTGTCACACTCACTGCACTTATAGGGCTTCTCGCCACTGTGTGTCCTTTGATGGTGAATGAGACTACAACTCTGGTTGAAGGCTTTCCCACACTCGTCACACTCATAGGGCTTCTATCCAGGGAGAATTTGCTGATGCTGAATAAGGTGTCCCTTGTGACTGAAGGTTTTCACACACTCATCACACCTGTTGGATTCTCCCTGGTGTGGATTCTCTGATGTGGGATGAAGCAAAGGTGAGCCCTGAAGAGATTCCCACACTCGTTGTAGACATAAGTCTTCTCTCCAGTGTGAACCTTCTTATGTTGAATAACCTGTAAGCACTGACTGAAGGATTTTCCACATTCATTACAGTCATAGGTTTTCTTCATATGTGAGTTCTCTGCTGTTGGGTAAGAGAAAATCATGTGCTAAAGGCTTAACCACACTCACCACAATCATGGGGCTTCTCTCCAGAATGGGTTCTCTGATGCTGTCTCCAGAAGGCCTTCCCACACTCCACGCATGTGTGTGGTTTCTCTGCACTGCACACCCTCTGATGATGGATCAGGTTGGAAACATAACTAAAGGCTTTTCCACACTGACTGCACTCACAGGGCTTCGCCCCAGAGTGGACTGTATGAGACTGAATGTAAGATGGATGGGTACTAAGAGTTTTCTCACATGTGTCACACTCATGGAGTCTTTCTCCAGTGTGAGTGTTACAGTGACTTCTCTGGTGCTCTGAGCAAAAGCTTTTCCATACACAGCAGTTTTCAAAGGGTTTTCTTGACTGTTAATGCTCTGGTTCTCACTGAAAACTGAACTCTGCCTGGACACTTTCACAAACATATCTGCATAACAGGCTCATTCTCCTACACAGACACCGTGGAGGCTAAGGAGGTCCACACTTGCCTGCAAGTTTTCACCACATGACACACTCTGGGGGAGACTCTCCCTGAAGATAGCCTGCAGTTTTTGTCAGGATTCACATTTGCAGTGCAGTCTTCCTCAGCAGCACCAAGCTCTGGGCCTCTCTCCTCTTTGGAGGTCTTCACACCTGCCACTGTCACTGGCCTGAACTGGGTCTTCTGGGGGAATTCCTCCTTCAATCCCTCTAATGGAGGTTTCTCCCAGAAATTCTGTATCCCTCCCTCCATTTTAGACATCTCTTCAAAATCAGGTCCCTTGGAAATACTCCTTACATGTCCTGATTTTGTTCTCTGGAAGTCCACTTTTTCAGAAATTTCCTGCTTTGGAGTCAATTCTGTATTTTCCATCCTATATTCATAGCATAAAAGAATGGAAGAAAGAGTTTCTCATGTTTTATTGCAGGAAATACTTAAAAGCATAAAGTGGGAACACTTATATGAACCAATTATCTCCTAGGATGATTTGGATTCTCAGAATACAAAACCAAAAAATGACCTCACTGGGAAGAGAAAAGAGAAGGCAAGGACAGAGAAACAATTGCTCAGAGCCGTGAAAGCTGGCATGGGAGGGAGGGAGAGAAGAAACCCAAGGTCAAAGACCTCCCTCTGAGATGGGCCAATAGGCACAGATGGGGCAAGAGCTTCCAGGTGTGACCTGAGGGAGAGGTGCCCTCAGAAAGTGAGGAGGGAGACTGGCACACTTGGTTGTTCATGGCTGACACTCAGCAGACATTCAAACATTTATTGATGTTGGGACCTGCCCAACATCAAACTGACCTGAGGGAGCGGTGCCACAGAAGAATAAAGAAAAAAGGACTCAGAAATAAAGTGGGGAGTTCTCTGAGCTCGCAGTTCCTCTTTCTTCTCCTGGGAGGGTTCTTGGCTTTTTTTCCCCAGCATGGCCCCCAAACACCAGTCTTCTCTTCCACCCCAAGCGAAGAAACTGAAGAAAGCCAGGCTGACTCCTGCCTCCAGGCCAGACGAGGCATCTGCTTCTTCAAATTTGCCAAAGGAAGAAAAAGAACAGCAAGAAGCAATTGAACATATTGATGAAGTACAAAATGAAATAGACAGACTTAATGAACAAGCCAGTGAGGAGATTTTGAAAGTAGAACAGAAATATAACAAAATCCGCCAACCATTTTTTCAGAAGAGGTCAGAATTGATCCCCAAAATCCCCAATTTTGGGGTAACAACATTTGTTAACCATCCACAAGTGTCTGCACTGCTTGGGGAGGAGGATGAAGAGGCGCTGCATTATTTGACAAGAGTTGAAGTGACAGAATTTGAAGACATTAAATCAGGTTACAGAATAGATTTTTATTTTGATGAAAACTCTTACTTTGAAAATAAAATTCTCTCCAAAGAATTTCATCTGAATGAGAGTGGTGATCCATCTTCAAAGTCCACTGAAATCAAATGGAAATCTGGAAAGGATTTGATGAAATGATCAAGTCAAACACAGAATAAAGCCAGCAGGAAGAGACAGCATGAGGAACCAGAAAGCTTCTTCACCTGGTTTACTGATCATTCTGATGCAGGTGCAGATGAATTAGGAGAGGTCATCAAAGATGATATTTAGCCAAATCCATTACAGTACTACTTGGTTCCTGACATGGATGATGAGGAAGGGGAAGGAGAAGAGGACGACGACGATGATGAAGAGGAGGAAGGATTGGAAGATATTGATGAAGAAGGGGATGAGGATGAAGGTGAAGAAGATGAAGATGATGAGGGGGAGGAAGGAGTGGAAGATGAAGGAAAAGATGACTAATGGAACACTGATGGTTTCCAACCTTTTTTAATTTTCTCCAGTCCCTGGGAGCAAGTTGCAGTCTTTTTTTTTTTTTTTTTTTTTTTGTGCTCCTCTTGTGCTCAGTTGCCCTGTTTTTGAGGTCTCTTTTCTCCTTTATACCATGGTTCACAACTTATTTGGGGGGGAGGGGAAAATATCTTGAGAAGAATTCAGTGGGAAAAGTATCTCTACCCCTTTCTGTCTCAAATTCATTTTTATCCCTTCCTGTCTCAACAAAAACTATGGAATCAACACCACCATGCTCTGTGGGAAAAAAAGAAAAACCTTCTGCTCCCTTAGCTCTGCTGGAAGCTGGAGGGTGCTAGGCCCCTGTGTAGTAGTGCATAGAATTCTAGCTTTTTTCCTCCTTTCTCTGTATATTGGGCTCAGAGATTACACTGTGTCTCTATGTGAATATGGACAGTTAGCATTTACCAACATGTATCTGTCTACTTTCTCTTGTTTAGAAAAAGAAAAAAAAAAACTTTAAAAAAATGGGGTTATAGAAGGTCAGCAATGGGTGGGTTTGAGATGTTGGGTGGGTTAAGTGGGCATTTTGACAACATGGCTTCTCCTTTGGCATGTTTAATTGTGATGTTTAACGGACATCCTTGCAGTTTAAGATGACACTTTTAAAATAAAATTCTCTCCTAATGATGACTTGAGCCCTGCCACTTGATGGGAGAATCAGCAGAACCTGTAGGATCTTATTTTCAATTGACATTTCTCTATTGTAATTTTGTTCCTGTTTATTTTTAAATTTTTCTTTCTGTTTTACTGGAAAGGAAAGATGATGCTCAGTTTTAAACGTTAAAAGTGTACAAGTTGCTTTGTTACAATAAAACTAAAAGTGTACACACAAAAAAAATAAAATAAAGTGGGGATCAGGGGGCTCATGTGGCATCAGGGGATGCCATTCGCAGGCAAAAACCCAGATCCTAATCCTTGCATGCTTTTTATTGCTAACATCTACTTCCTTGTACGTGCTCTAGAGATTTCTGTTTTTTACAATTTCAGACCAGGGATAAAGATATACAATTCACAGTCCTCAATGTCAAACCTTCAGGCCTCTCATGACTGTTTAGCCCTTCAGCTAAGGATGACCTTTCTCAGCAACCCCCTCAAAGCTCTCATTATGAGAACAGTCACTAATGGTTTTCCATCAGTCACATCAGTACTTCAGTATCTTATTTTCAAGATGTTTTTGCACAATGTACTTTTTACTGCTCCCAGCCCTTCACCTGGGGGTGATGAGAAAGTCATTCTTATTTTTAAAAGAAGCCCTGTTAATTATAGTACAGGCCTGTGCATAGCATATTCCCTACAGTTGAAAAATAAATGTATCAAAAATAACTTATAATGAATGAAGGGCATACAGAGTAATGAATAGTGGGAAAAATTATTTGATCTAGACAAATCGGTTACACAGAGGTAAATTATGGAAAACAAAACAAAACAAAAAAAAAACAGAAAGAAAGAAGCAATCTACCCGTTCAATAGCAGGTGCAGCACAAGGTGACAAAGCCAAACGTGTACATCAGTGCATACCACATGTCTCCAGTGTGTAAACGTACCTGAAAATTTGTAAAAACTATGACACAGAATTCTGTGATTCAATGAAAGGGAATTTACCAAAAACAAAACTATCCGTCCAAAAGCACTAAATTATGTGACTACAAAGCCTGTGGGAAGATAAGCCTTGTGAGAACTGTGAGAGGGAGGCCTGTTCTGAGAGACCATGAAAGCACAATGGACTCTCTTTGGAAAACAGTGGTTATTATTAGAGCTGTGACTTTCAGACTGTTTAGTCAGAATGGAGAAACTGGGCTGAAAATATTAACAGGGTAGGCTCTAATATGGGCCAAGTCATCTTTGCAGAACTTCTTCCAGTGCTTCAAAGGCATTGATTCCACTATTCAAGTCTGGAAGGTAAAAAGCAAACAATAATTAATTCCAGAAACAAAGGAGCAGCCTAAAGGGGCAGGTCATAGATGGTAAAGGTCCTGAATTCTCGTGGCTTCTGTCAGGGGCATCTGAGGAGTTAAGAGTCCTCCACAAGATTTCTTAAAAAGCTGGAAATAGAACTGCCATATGACCCAGCAATCCCACTTCTGGGCATACACACCGAGGAAACCAGATCTGAAAGAGACACATGCACCCCATTGTTCATCGCAGCACTGTTTATAATAGCCAGGACATGGAAGCAACCTAGATGCCCATCAGCAGACGAATGGATGAGGAAGCTGTGGTACATATACACCATGGAATATTACTCAGCCATTAAAAAGAATTCATTTGAATCAGTTCTAATCAGATGGATGAAACTGGAGCCCATTATACAGAGCGAAGTAAGCCAGAAAGATAAAGACCATTACAGTATACTAACACATATATATGGACTTTAGAAAGATGGTAACGATAACCCTATATGCAAAACAGAAAAAGAGACTCAGATGTATAGAACAGACTTGTGGACTCTGGGAGAAGGCGAGGGTGGGATGTTTCAAGAGAACAGCATCAAAACATGTATATTATCTAGGGTGAAACAGATCACCAGCCCAGGTTGGGTGCATGAGACAAGTGCTCGGGCCTGGTGCACTGGGAAGACCCAGAGGGATCGGGTGGAGAGGGAGGTGGGAGGGGTGACCGGGATGGGGAATACATGTAAATCCATGGCTAATTCATTTCAGTGTATGACAAAAACCACTGCAATGATGTAAAGTAATTAGCCTCCAACTAATAAAAATAAATGAAAAAAAAAAAACAGTCCTCCACATTCTTGGACTAGAGTCTGAAAAGATAATCCTCATCAAGAGGTGTTATTTCACCAACTAGAAAGCAGAATGAAGGCTGTGACAAAACAAGAGACCACAAAACAGTTGAGAAGCAGTGTCTCACACCAGTTCATGCTGCCTCAGATGTTGGGAGTCCTTGGTTGCCTGTTTGTATTTTATGTATTTTAAATTTTACTATTTCTTTAGCTCTTTTCAAAACATTGAAGTATAATTGATGCCTGTTTATATTTTAATTAAGGCAATAAAAAAATACTTGGGAACTCTATGAATGAGTGTGTTTATGAACCAAAAATGCATTTGAGTGAGATGGTGGCTATAAGGCCAGGACACCCCTAAATGTCAAAATTTGGAAGACTTTACCTACAGTTATTTGGTTTTTGAAGCAATCCCCTTGTTTTTGCCCTGCGTAGACGATATTTTATTGCTGGGTGTTCTTTTTGCAGGACTAGAGGAAGGATATGGAAGGATCAGCTGTCTTCTTTTTTTCTTTTTTTTAGCTGTCTTCTTTATTTAGTGTTTTAGCTGGTATCTAAGGATTCAGGTTTGACTTTTTTTTTTTTAATCCTTCATAAGTGATAGAATATTTTTCATCAGGAGGTGTAAAATGTCTTGTTGTCTCTCTTTTTGTGATATTAGTAGCCAATAAAAATTATAATTTATATTAATTTTAAAAATTGAAAAAATAAAAATAAAAATTGACACGTGCCACAACTACTGAAGCCACATGCAGCAACTACTGAAGCCCATGTGCCTAGAGTCTGCGCTCTGTAACAAGGAGCCACTGCCATGAGAAGCCTGAGCACCGCAGCTAGAGTAGGCCCTGCTCGCCACAACCAGAGAAAAGTCCACGTGCAGAAATGAAGACCCAGTGCAACCAAAGTAAATAAAAAGAAATAAAGTGAAAATTTGGAATTGCAGGAATTTCCTGGCAGTCTAGCCCTTCCACTACTGGGGCCTGGATTCAATCCTTGGTTGGGGAACTGAGATGTCACAATTCAAGCAGCATGGTCAAAAAATAAGCACATTTTTTAAAATTGGAGTTGCAAAATACTAATTTCTAATTTGGGCCTCACTGGTAAAGAATCCACCTGCCATGCAGGACACCCCGGTTTGATTCCTGGGTCCAGATGATCCCCTGGAGGAGGGGTAGGCTGCCCACTCCAGTATTCTTGGACTTCCCTGGTGGCTCAGATAGTAAACAATCCACCTACAATGCAGGTAGACCTGGGTTTAATCCCTGGGTTAGGAAGATCCCTGGAGAAGGGCATGGAAACCCACTCCAGTATTCTTGCCTAGAGAACCCCCATGGACAGAGGAGCCTGGCGGCCTACAGTCCTTTGGGGTCACAAAGAGTTGGACAAGACTGAGTGACTAAGCACATATACAATTTCTAATTTGGTCATTCATTCTCTTTTGGCTAGAACTTCTATGAAGAACTACTCATCAATTGTCTAGTTATCCTGAGGGATAACACACTTAGTAAAAGCAGAATCAATCCTTTATTATTTTACTTGCCAGTTTTCAGAATAACAAATCAAGTCCCTAGCATTCCTCAAAGGGGACCAGTGAGTCAGGAATTCTCCCCTGAGTATTGGACCAGCCCTAACAAGCCCTAAGACCAACCCCTAGATGGGACAAGGTGATCAAATGGTATTTTATCTGTCTACCAGAAGGAGACTTAATCCTCTTTCAAGAGTGTAACATCATATAAAGTCTCTATAGCTTTTAATCTATAATAATTAACAATTAAATGACAAGAAACCAGGAGAAAAAATACACAACTGAAACAGCTTCATAGGTGATTCATATATTATTAAGAAACAGTTTAAAACAAACAAAACAATGATTAGTATATGTAAGAAAACAAAGAGCTACAGAATGCACTAGAAGTCAAATGAAAATTAAAATTCAGAGTTCAACAGACAAGAGAATTCATTGGCAGATAGAAGGTAACAAAACAGAGGATTAGGTAACTGGAAAGTACATAAGTAAAAGTATTCAGGTTAAAACAGTGAGAAAAAAGCAGGATGGAGAATACAGAAAAGAGCATAAGGAGTAGGCACAACCAGGCATGAAGCATATTGTGAGTATCTCACAGTCCTGGGAAGAAAGGAGAAAAGGAACAGGTAAAAGAAATAGTTTAAGAAATGTTGGCCTAAGTGATTCAGTGGTTAAGAATCTGCCTGCCAGCACTATTTACAATAGCTAGATCATGAAAACAACCTAGATGTCCATTGACAGATGAATGGATAAAGAAGTTGTGGTACATACACACAATGGAATATTACTCAGCCATAGAAAGGAACGCATTTGAGTCCATTCTAATGAGATGAATGAACCTAGAACCTATTATACAGAGTTAAATGAGTCAGAAAGAGAAAGATAAATACCATATTCTAACACATATATACGGAATCTAGAAAAATGGTACTGAAGAATTTACTTACTGGGCAACAATGGAGAAACAGACAAAGAGAATAAGTAGACTTATGGACACGGGGAGAGGGGAGGAGAGGGTGAGATGTATGGAAAGAGTCACATGGAAACTTACATCACCATATGTAAAATAAACAGCCAACGGGAATTTGCTGTATGCCTCAGGAAACATAAACAGGGGCTCTGTATCAAGCTAGAGGGGTGGGATGGGGAGGGAGATGGGAGGGGGCTTCAAAAGGGAGGGGTTATATGTATACCTTTCGATGATTCATGTTGAGGTTTGACAGAAAACAGCAAAATTCTGTAAAGCAATTATCTGCCAAGAAAAAGTGAATTAATTTAAAAAAAGGATCTGTCTGCAGCCCAAAATAATAAATAAATAAGTCATAATAATAAACAAATAAAAGATCTAGGATTTTATTTTTAAAAAAGAAATATTGGCCTACATTTTCCCACAACTGACTAGTGTCTATAAGCCATAGATTCAAAACATTTGAGGAACCCTAAGTAAGGTCAATGCAAAGAACACATTCATGGGCATAATATAGTCAAACTGTCAAAAACTGAAAAAAAAAAAATCAAAAGTAGCAAGAGGAAAAAGATGTATCATCTTCAAAGCAAAATAATACTGCAAACTGGCTTTT